CACACTAGTCTACGTGACTCGTATACCATGCTGAAATGTTAGGTGGTTGGAGGCAGTCAACTTTAGTTTCGTGCTAGTTGGCACTTTTCGGCAGGGGGTGGCTATGATCTTGAGGGAACTGAAGCATCCTGCGGGATTAAAACCCGGATCATCCGGTTCACACTATATGTTACTGACAAGCTATTCGAGCCCCTCTACATAAAACAAAATCAGTCCCTGGTTTTTAATGACATTACCATGTTTGAAATTACAAAAGAAATACTGTTTTGCCAACCTTTTCTAGATGTCATGGGAATCAGCAACTCTTGGATTTTGGTTCACGGATTTACTTGACAGGAATTCTCAATTTAGTAATTGGCTTTTTGAAGGTCGTCCAATTTGCTATTGGATGACAGGATTTTTTAATCCCCAAGTGAGTTTCATGTAGGAATGTTTATTTTTAGAGATAATTTCTAGATGCAAACTAATAGCCCATTGTCGAACATCAAATGGAGACCTTTGCGATTGGTCTATTCAGTTTTTTAGGTCACAATCGTTAACTCCGAGAAACATTAACAAGTAGATAATGCTATCCAAATAACTATGTGTACTTTTCTCGAAGTATTTGACTTGTCAGATACACTTCTGCTGAAAAAATCAAACGATTAGTTGTTTAGTCGCCTGTACAACCAGAGTTGCAGAAGCAAATTTTATTATTAAGGCCTACAGAGGATTTTGGAGGCTATCTCTAGCAATCTACCACTACGTTTACGATCCTAACTAAACACATTTAAATGAATTTCAACTACTACAGAATGGGAGTCGTTTATTCGACCCCTTACAGCAGATAAGTGGCAATTTCTCCGAACTTATTTTACTATTTTCCTTTAGATAAAATTATTTTAAACTATAAGATCTAGTAGAGTAGGTTAAAATGACAACTCTGAGCAAAAAACTTCTAGAAAAAAAAACTCCTATTGAGACTACTTTTAGTTTTGTCTATACTTCAACATGTCGATACTCCTGTGAGAACATTCATTTTCAATACCATTATTTTATGCAGTGATTGTACTTTTAGCATTCATGTGACTAAAATAACCCCTTCAATTTTTGTGCTTGTTTCGTAGTTTAAAGAATCAACTTTATACAACAAAAAACCAATTTTAAAACTTTTAATTACTTCATCATGGATAAAGTAACTTTTTTCAACCGTTTTAACAATTACGAATTGTCATAACTATTCACTATCTTATTTTAGGGCTTCCTCACTGCTATGAGACAAGAAGTGGCCAGAGCAAATAAATATGCCCTAGATGATGTAGCTTTAACAAACGATGTGACGAAATTAATGCGTGAAGAATTAACTAAAGGTCCAACTGAAGGTGTTTACATCCACGGTCTTAGTTTAGATGGAGCTGGTTGGGATCGTAAACAAGCTAGACTAATGGAACCTCTACCAAAACTATTGTACACTCCACTCCCAGTAGTGCATGTATCTGCATTTTCTCTATCAATCGGTGAGAAAAGTAAACCTGGAATATTCTATTCATGTCCAGTTTACAAAAAGCCTAAACGTACCGATTTGAATTACATATTTCCTTTAATGCTTCGTAGTGCAGTAGATGCAGATCATTGGATTTTAAGGGGAGTTGCTCTTTTAGGTGATGTTAAATAGATAATAATAATAATAATAATAATAATAATAATAATAATAATAATAATAATAATAATAATAATAACAATAATAATAATAATAGTCTATTTCTATTTATCTGAATAATCTTTTTTTAAGTTCGTATATTACCAAACAAATATAATTTTCATATAAGTACATGATAATCATGATCATTATTCCTTTTATATAACATTTATTCTGACAAAGTCTATTAAAAAGTATATCAATAAAGATTAAGAATTTTATGTTCGAGTCAATTACAACCTGAAATGAAGTAGGCATATGTCGATTTCTATACAGAAATAATGATCTGCATTTATACGAACATTTGTACCGTTGATAGATCATGGGTCAATGAATTTTTAATTAACATTATTATTAACCCGCTTGTCCCATGGCCCAAGTAATACATTGTAGATAAGTCTAAAAGCATCCGCAATACTGACTTGGACTAAGGGGCGTTAGGAAAGAACGCAAGGGCTTTTCAATGCAGTTATAAATATCAATATCATTGAGTGTATCTATGTTGTATCTGGCGTTGTAAGATATCCTGAGCAACACTATACCATCAATTCAGTTTGATCACAAACACTATTCATTAAAATTACCCAGTTTGGAGTACAATTTATACAATAAAACAACATACCACAATGAATAAAACGATTGAGAATTCTTGTGAAACTAAATCTACAATCTACTTGAATAAAGCCATCAATAAGTCATCTACCAACCACGTCAAAACCTATATTGGCCCCCAAATGTACTGGGATGGCCGAGAGTGGGAAGAGTTAGCTCTCCCTCTTGAAATGCTCTCAAGTGGCCGTGAGTATACAGCCACTGCCAGGAAAGTCCTACTCACTGTCTTCTTGCGGTAGGGGTGTTGTTTACGAAATTGAGAGGATGAAAAGCGAATATCCGGGACTCTGACCGGGTTGGTGGATATTGAGGACCCACCTGTGGGAGTTGGAAAACCCTGATTCCAAATCAGTGGTGCACATAGGCTCCAGGATCCTGAGCGAACAAATGAAGTATGAACCAATTGTTGGTCACCGGCTGCTATGAGACTGCATCTTCTGACGTTGCTCCACTGCCATGTGGATCAGATCTTTATGTCGAAGGCTCTGGGCGTGGATCCCTAAGAAAACCACCCGCTTCGGTCTGGGTATCCGGGTAGTATCACAGCCCAGACATAAATCAAGTGACTTTTGTGGCCCATATGCATTCGGTACCCTTTTGTACCAAGATTTATATGTTCCAATAAATAAATAAAATGAGTTAAAGGATAAAAATTATATCTTTAAGTGAAGAGACATATACTAAACTTTTGCTTAATCTGGACAGTTCGCAACCCTTCACTTTTATTTAGATTTGATTGTTAATACATACTTTAAGCACGAACTGACAAAAATTTAGTAAAACACAGAACGTTATTATCAAATTTTATTTTACGGAAATAACGTAAAGTATGTGGAAATAAATGAATTATAATACATACTTATCAACTAAACGTAGAAACATGAAGTGACTGCAAAATTACGATGAACGAATACCGTATTATTTTTCACTATTTCATGAATAAATCACTTATACGACATAAAATCGATCAGGTAAAAGTTATTTCATATGTAAATAATACTGGTTTGAAGATCAATTAGTTTAGATACAGAATATCAAAGTGACTCAAAACTATCGTGTTAAAGATCAGCATATATTGGATGTGGTTAATTGTAAAAGACTAAATAAATATGTTTAAAATGCTTAGTGAAGTTTTCACGCAATACGAATTGAAATCCTATATTGTGCTCAAATGGCAGGTTATTTTGCTACAATCTCATCATATACCTTTCCTTTTGTTATGTCATTCCGAGATATAGCAACTTGGACCGGTGCAACTTTCTGTGAGGCTTTAAAGTGATGTACTTGTTTGTCTATTAGTCATTTAAACTTGCTGTAAGACTTTTACTGCTATTCTCACAGATTTTCCATGCTGTGAAGCGACACTACAAATAGACTAAACTATTTAGGAACCATTTACCTATAAAAATTGTTGCTCTGGTTGTTAGAAGAGGCATCGACCTCATGACTTCAGAAAAATCTCATCTTTCATCGTGCGGCGTCATAATTCTTCCTGCAACTCTCAAGGCAGAGTTTAAATGGTTTAGTTTGTGTAATTTGTGTGGCGTTTTTCAGCAAGATCTTTTTCTTGAGGATGGGGTTGCCGACCCGATGCCCAGCCCTCCTCCTTTACCCGGACTTAAGACCGGCAGTAACTCTAGAAGAGCTACAGGCGGAGAACTACTACAACCATCATCAAAAAGGTATAATTATTTGTAAGCAGTTGTCTACGCAAGATACTCAATATCGGTTGACCGGATACCATCAGCAACAGCCTACTGTGGGAGAGGAAAAACCAGCTTTCAGATGAAGAGAAAATTAGAGAAAAACGTTGGAAGTGGATAGGACATACATTACGGAAATCACCAAACTGCATCACGAGACAAGCCCTAACTTGGAGTCCTGAAGCAAAACGAAAAAGAAAGAGGCCGAAGAACACACTACGTCGGGAATTGGAAGCAGACATCAAAAAAATGAATAGCAACTGGAAAGGATTGCCGAGGACAAGGTTGGATGGAGAGTGCTGGTGGGCGGCCTATGCTCCTCCATGAGAGGTAACAGGAGTAAGTAACTACGAACCATGTGGAAGGACGCTAGAAAGTATTTCCCCTGTCACTGTCGGCACAAACATTAATATAAAAGCTTGCATATGGTTAGAAATCAAAGTCAGCAATACCGACCAGCACGAATTTATGCTAAATTTTTTGTTCATGTTGATCTGTCTGAATTAGCAAGTCAGTCCCAACGTAAAACCTGTCATGTATGCACATCAGTTCAAGCTACCATACTCCATTAGGACAGAGAAATGAAACTGTCAGGACAAATCCTAGAACAGTAGAGATAGCTGTAGTATTAACGGTAATACAAAAGATTAGGCATCGAAGATACGATTCAAGGAAATATACATTAGTGAAATGAAAATATAAAAAGGTTATGTGAAATTTATAAGCTCAGAATATAGAGCAAAACAAAGAATGGATGAACCTGCGCCATTACAAACGATTTTGAGTCATCTCATTTAAAGTCTCTAACTACTGGCTACGACAATCATGCGGACTCGTCGGGTAGTCTACACTTGTTGGAATAGGCCATATTCGATCATTTGTTATCAAATCATAGCTTATCCTTATTTAGATCGGATTTCGAAAATACGTTATGGATGTGTAGATTATGTGAAAGCCCTGGTACACGAAAATCTTGGGCCATAGTTTAGAATCAAGAAGTAGATGAATTGGTACAGAATTATTTTAGACACATGATACAAGAATAAAACAGTTCATTTTTAAGAAAATGTACATAGATTTTCTGACGGTGAAGATAAAGGAATTGTACCAGGAACAAAATTCCCAGCTGAACGATATATAGATAGCTCTTTTTCACTCAGCTGGTCATAGGAGCTATAAATTTCCGAAGCTTCATATCCCCATTCACGATATCGAGATGACTGCATTTTGATTACTTTTTCAGTCTGACGGAATGAAAAACCTGTTAAACCAGGTGATATTGGTTTATTATTGGTTTTACTGACAATATTAGTATCAATGTTAGTTAGGCATCTGGTGAGATTATTTGACTGACTGTTTGAATATTTTGAGTCAATGGCTTCCTTCAAATCTCTGCGATAGGTATGAGATGAATTGGCTAAATGAATGAAAAGTTCAATGTTATTTCAACTAAAATCATCTAAAAGAATACGCAAGGTTTCAGAGGTATAATCAATTACCAATCGATGAAACAACAATTACGAGGAAACTAAACTACATCTTACTGATGTTTGTTAAAATGCCAAAACAGGAAATAATACTAAACTGAAGATTTAAGGGTGGACTCATCTGCGTCTCGATCAATAGATATGCAGTCATATATTTGGGCTACCTCGCTGACATCCACTGTGGAGCTACTATTATTTTACAATCATTATGTAATGGAAATCTGATAGCTGCGCATTAAGCTATCCTTCGATGATGACTAACATTATATGTCACGGCATTTCTTAAACAGCATTTGAAAGTGAAGAAATGCTAATGAAACATTTAACCTTACAGACTAAGTGATTGCACTATATTACGAACCCCTTAGTTTTAGGAAACACTAGCTAACGAAATCTAAACCAACAGATGGACAGAACGTTATGGGCTCAACCCGAACAAAATTCAACAATAAAAGCTTACGAGCCGATATATGTTAGACAACCATTGGAAACGTGGATGCACTGGATGACCGTTTCGCCCTAGTATGGGACTCCTATGTAGCAGACATCCACGACCATGCCAGTGGGGACCGAACCCAGGACTATTAGTTTTGCGCGAACACTTAGCTTATTCAGACCATTGAACCGGAATCTATTGGTGCACAAATCTAACTTCGTTCAGATTATTTCGTGATATCAATAAAATTCCACAATTTTCATAACCTCACACTGAAAAAATTGTCTTTCATATTTCAGTATTTCACCTGATGATATTCAGTCTTATTATTTGGTGTTTTCATACCACTCAAGGATTAACCATCAGCTAAAAGAAATACATAGTTTGTTTAGGTATGGATTAGTTTAAAAGCTCACTAGAATTGAAAATATCATAACACATGAAATATAAACCAAATTTATCTGTTACCACAACTACCATTTATATTGTGTGAAAATGTACATTTGATTCCATTGTGACAAGAACCTTGTAGATAAAATTTACAAGGAATAGATCTAAAGTTAAAAAGAGGGCTTTATGTTTAATTAAAGCTCTACAACAAGAAAATAAATGTTTAAAGCAATGAAATGTATATTATTTGCCCAGCACATTTTGTATTATATCATGGATTGTACATAAACCGTACAAAATATCACTTAATAGAATTCATCTGTATTAAACATCCACCACTAAATGGGACAAAATACATGAGCAGACAAAAAACAACAAAGCACCATGTGCAACGATGGAGATTTATGAATTAAAGAATTTACATTTCCAGTCGTTATATCTATAGAAGTTCAACTGCGACTTGTAAGAATGAGACAGGATACAGAGTGTGAAAATTTCAAGTGATTTGAGCTTTACGGGCCTGGCAAACATGCTTTAGGTCTTTGATTGAGATCATGAACCGATTGATGTTGGACCACCACCTTTGGAAACCTGGAAGCACTGGAAGGCCGTGCGCATCCACGATCTTTAGATCTACTGAGCTGAAGTATGGTGACATGTTATAGACTGAGACCCTAAGTATATCTACTGGTTTTATTATGATAGTATAACCAAAGGTCCTTGGAACGAATCTTATCCCCAAGGTTTAACTGAGCAATCAAACACGTTATTAAGTACGCTTATGAGATTATTGACTTAATTTTGGGTATGTAGAAATCAAAAACCTTATTTAAATCTGCAAAATGACTCATATACATGGTGAATGATTTAAAGCAATATGGCTCCAAATCTGTCAGTGTTGATTCTTCGTATTCCTTTTAGTTTTACGCTACATTTCTTCGTTGCTTCTATAAAACTCCGCTACTGTTAGAGTTCTTATTTCTACAGGCGAGATTATTTTATGGACGAACCAATCAGATTTAGGAGAGTGGGTCTTGCATTTTGGCGCAAAATTCATTCATCCAAACAGTTACATACGGGTGAGGGTAAACTCTACTCTCGTCCTTAATTTCACACTTGTACCAGGCTGCCAGTTAAAATGAAGCGGGAATTATTATATACAATATTTTAATCCATGATGGAGCGTGTGTTTCGTTATCTGTCGCTTTCGCTGGCTTACATGAAGTAAAGTTTTCTACAACGAAAATACCACTCCATTATACCACGGACGTATCGAGTGTAGGAAGAAAAATTACAAGACAGCAAACGATATGCCTCCGATTAATTATATGATAAAGATTATTACAAAACATCTACAATTGACTACAATACACTTAGATAACTTGACAATGTGGGGTTTATCCCCAACCCTAAATAGCGCTTTAAGATTATGGCTGATATCAGTTCGTTGTGGAAACCACAACCGTAATTCCCAACTCCAATGTCCAACTGCAAACCTTAGTGTCAATTCCTCACACTAATTTATAACTCACTCAGCCCTATCAAGTAGGTGGAGTCTGAAGGTCACATAAGGGTCGCCCGAAAGACTCCCGTAAATTATAGCCCCACCACATTTGTTTCAGATACTATGTTGTCGATATACCCTTGATTATCTTTTTTCACACGCCAAACACCTAATCCAATGAGGATATAATCTAAGCTAAGCAAAGTACATTACAATCTTTATGATGAGCCACATAATAGTGAAAGCAAGGGTAGAATGGTACATATATAAACTCATATTTGAGTGAGTTGACTGAATCGGTACATGCAAACTAATAGTACTTAAGATTATTAATACTATCCAGAATTTCAGTGACCTGATATGCTACAGTTAGCCCATAGGTAAGTCGGTAGATAAAAAGTTGATTGCGTAGAAATAAATACAACAGGTAAAGATGTAGAGACAAATTTTAGTTTATACGAGTTAACACGATTTTCCTCTTAAAAAGTGGCAGATTCAGATCTTGCATAGGAATCATGAGCAAACAAACTCTGTAAAACATAAGGGTACTCACTTTGAAGTCTGGAACGACTTGTTTTCTGGTAAACAATGTGAATTAATGCATCGATCGCCATATATGCATCGATTCTTTAGGTAAAATGGACAGATATGTTTTCCCTGGTTAAAAAAAGTCATTGTATACAACTTGAGGTTTCATTAGGATGAAACATTATCAAAAGTATAAAAAAATGATTTCAGGATTATTTAAAGTGTAGTTTAGTCGTTTTGTAGTAAGCCGTTATCACTTCATTCTATTAATTGGAATAGTACCTACATGTTTTTATTCGGCTTTCAGTCGTATCTTTTATGCGACGGTTAAATTAACAGACGTTTCTCGTAACGAGATAGAATGATGGTCGGATTTATGATACATTGTTAAAAATCGAGTGTTCTGAACACTAAGACAAAGCTCTACTAACATGACTGAGTCTAACACTTGCTAAAGTAAAACAGGCTGACGTTTTCAATACAGAGGCTAAAATACAGGTAAAAATCGATATCATTAGTAGCAAAAACTGAAATGGGTGTAAGTGGAAAGATACATAAGATAGACAGATGAGATTTGAATAGTTTGAAAGCTAAATCTAGCAAAATACACGTTTAGGCCATAGTATACTGACCATGTTCAATAATTACTAATGGTGCCTAAGAACAGACTCCACTACACAGTTTGGAATTTTAGCAACACACATTTATGTAAGAAAAATACTGTGTTTAACAATGTTTTAGAGATTTGACAATAGTCCATTTTATTCATCCATTTATCATGAAACAGCTAAAACACGAATATATCGCCTAATAATTAGTAGATACATTACTATCTTATGTTACTACATGCTTCTGGCGCAACTCCAAGTCATTTGCCGAATTCCCTACAGCTAATTTTATGCAAACTTACTTCATGTGACTGACCCTGCTGTTGAAATGCCCGCATCTTCAAATATAATATATTTTAATACTTTCCAGTTTGTTAGCTTGTATTCGTATATGCTACAATAGTGCCTCCACGTGTGACATAATGACGGATCTAAAAGAAGACAGAAACATGTGAAGGGATGCATGGTGAGAAATCTACAATTTATTACAGACATCTTTGTTACTACATCCATGATTTCCACACTAATTTCCCGTTAATTATCGTTTTTTGCAGCTGTGCAAGTGCATAGTTTGGTAGCTGAGAGTTATGATTTAGACTGAATGTTGGTATGAACTTCATATAGGATGTAAAAACGACCGAGCGCGCTTTTCGAACGGGAAGTTTAGTCCTAACGTGATTTGCATATATCAAACTTTTGCTGTGTTCTTACGCAACAAAAGTACCATTTCAGTTCTAAAGAATCTATCCTGAGCTATACGTTCGGTAGATTACTTTTTTTTTGAGTTTCACTATATTTAATAGTTACCTGTGGTTTTGCCTCAGCTTACTATTCGGTTTTTTTTGTTTTTCACGTATAGACTAGTTTCAGTTTATATCACTCGTTTTGTCCATTTTTGTCCGTTTTCAGTGTGCATTTTAGTGTTTTTTTAAAAAAGGTCTTAAGCTTTGGCAAGCATCTATAACATAGTTTGCTTCAACACCGTCATGAAGAACTCATGCAAACGTCCGGGATGCCGTTTTGCTGTCACAACTGGCATGCAGTGCGACAACTGCAAAGGTTGGTTCCACGAAGCATGCACAAATCTGACAGCAACTGCTTACAACAGACTCAGCAAGTCAGACCAAAAGTGGGTATGTGTCACGTGCAACACGGACGCAGTAGTCTTGCTGAGTAACATCATTGTCCTACTGACAGGTCTTCGGAACAAGCTGTCAGTTAACTTGGAACACGACAGTAAAAAAACCGATATACAAACAAGAGCGCGCAACGGACTCAAAAATAGGGATGTCGATAGGTATACCATCGATGGAGCATCCATCAACACTAATGACGACGTGTCGAGGCTCAGTACCATCATTACGTCGACGGTACTGAACTCCCTAGGCAAACTCGGGTCTCCCAGCTCAGGGTTCCTGAACACAACAGTGGTTCCCAAAAACCCTGCAGGTGATTCGACCCACGTTAAGAGAGCCCAAAAGAACCAGGCATCACCGCCTAAACCGAGCAACCCAAGTGTTGCTGCACGGAAAATAACTGGTGATTTAGTCGCACAGTCTACCCCCAAGACTGTTCGTCCGGTCAACAAAGAGCCCAAGATTCATAAACGCACACTGACCTCCAAACAACAAGTTATTAGACGTGAACCCATCGTGAAACCTGGTAAATTAACAACAGTTCGTGACGATTCTCTCATTATCATGAACCTCGTCGACAATCCTGACCTTCCTCTCAGTCTGCAGGATAAAAACGACAGGATGCTGTGGGGTGAATTGAACAAGAAGCTCGAACTTCCTAGAATAGAGCCTCTGACGGTCACCCGGCTCACTCGAGGAAAGGATTCTAAGCATCTAAATCACCCGAGGCTTCTCCGAGTAACACTTAAGAATGCTACCGACGTAGAGGACGTCTTGCTAGCAAGTCACTTGCTGAAATCAGATGGTAACGTAAGAATATTGCCCGACATACCGTACTCTGAGCGCAATATCATACGAAACGTCCCTAAAGAATCTCGCGAGACGTTTTTCCGCGGAAGAAACATAATTGTCCAAGGTATACCGGAAAATGCAGACCCTACTCAATCAAATTCTGACATCAGGGAATGGAAATTCATCAAACAGTCCTTGAGGCTCAAACACATACTGACTCAGCATGTGACGAGACTAGCCAAGAAGGACGGTGATCTTAGACCCCGTCTAATGAAGATAACCTTCCCATCTTCCCACATGGCGGCTGCAGTTCTGGAAGCATTTCGTGCTAATAGACGTCGATTGCCACCTGGAATCCACATGCACCCGGATAGGCCATACGAAGTCAGGACCAAGAACAAAGGCAAGTTGGAGCTGACCATTCCACTTGTGGACTGTCTAAACGATAAAAAAAACGTGTAAAGGACAGGGCCTACCACCTCGGCAAACCTCATATAGGTGGTCTACCTGTCCATTCACATAAGGTTCATACAGAAAAACAGGACGAAGCTCACGCGTTCCAAATTGAAAGCATAAACTGCTTATATATGAACGCCGCGAGTCTACCAAACAAACTGGATGAACTACGTGAACTTAGCAACGCTAACAAGGCCCATCTGATAGGAATATCTGAAACCTGGATATCTTCTCAGTTCTCGGACCAAGAGTTAGCATTACCTGGGATGAATTTGTTCCGCAACGACAGAAAAATAGGAATTGGGGGCGGAGTAGCCATATACATAAGCTCTTGCTTGGAGGTGCACCAGGTTCACAACCTCGAGTTTAACAATCTTGAGGAATCCATATGGTGCTCTGTAAGGTTGTCTAGTACTTCGAGGTGTCTAGTCGGAGTCATTTACAGGAAGCCAACTGCCGACATCGAGTACGATAGTCGTATGCTGGAAGGACTATCCCGCTCTATCCGTCTCGGTTTCACACACATCCTGATTCTAGGGGACTTTAATCTCCCTAGAGTCAACCTCGCGGAACACACGTACACTGGAGGCGACAACTCAACTGAAGCTCGGTTCTTCAACCTCATCGATAACTTGGGCTTATATGAAAATGTGAGGTCGGCAACTCGTTGGAGAAACAGTCAGACACCATCGCGCTTAGACTGTGTATTCTCAAACGAAGAATTCCTAGTCGACAACCTCTCAATCCTGGCCCCTCTGGGAAAGAGCGATCATGCTGTCATAGCCTTCAGTTTTGTCATCAAAACTAAGCTAAGGTATCCCAACAATAATTTGCGTTGGAATTTTAAACGGCTGAATGTGCCAGCTTTACATGACTATCTACAACAGGTGGTTTGGGATGTTCACCCTCAACTCGATGTGGATGGTCATTGGGACTTCTTACTGCACACGCTCTTATGTGCTACAGACCATTCAGTTCCTCAAACGGTTCCCAAAAGGTGCAAGCCACCTACAGTAATCAAGAACCGTACCCTTCGCCTGCTAAGTCGCAAAAGACACTGTTGGGCGGAATACAAACGAACTAATAACGATGGAGCGTATAGGTAATATAAACATATCAGGAACATATGCACGAAGGCTATAAGAGAAGACAGGCTTCAGTACCAAACAAAGCTTATGGACAAGTTCGCCTCTAACCCTAGAAGCCTATTCCGTTACGCAGCCTCTCTTCGTCAAGCCAAAACAGGAGTTTCTCAACTGCCAGGTCTTAACGGCCCGACCAACAATGATGGCGACGCCGCTAACCTTCTGGCGGCACATTACTCTCAAACATTTCAACCGGCTGACATCAACTTTATTGACGACAGTTTCATCTGCAATTCCACAGGACTTTCTGAAGTGGACCTAAGAGCTGACTTGGTGTTCCGGAAGCTGCAGCACTTAAGACTTGACACTTCTCCTGGCCCGGATATGGTTCATCCTGCCATACTGAGGGAGGCAGCCTCAATCCTGGCAACGCCGCTTAGCGTGATGTTTTCACACTCGCTTAGCCGAGGCAAATTACCGGAAAATTGGAAGTTGGCTCACATCACACCAATTTTCAAAGGTGGTCGACGCAATGAACCTTCAAGTTATCGGCCGGTAGCTCTTCTGTCGTTACCTTCAAAACTCATGGAGTCCCTGATATGCGACGGTATAAATGACTATCTACTGTCCTTAAATTTCTTCTCACCCCAACAGCATGGTTTCAGGAAGGGTTACTCTTGTATAACCAACCTGCTGACTGCGGTGGACAGATGGACAAGCATCCTCGATCGCAAGGGAAAGGTTGATGTCATTTACCTTGATTTCTCAAAAGCTTTTGATAAGGTTAACCACTTGTGTCTTATCAACAAGCTCAAACGACTAGGTATCAAACCAGCTCTAATCGACTGGCTTACTTCATACCTAAAAAATCGACACTTTAAGGTTAGGGTTAATTTCACTTTATCTCAGGCTATGGAATGTCCTAGTGGGGTCCCCCAGGGCTCAGTACTAGGGCCTCTTCTCTTCTTGATCTACATAAATGATCTTCCTCAACAGGTAACGTCAGACTTATTACTTTTTGCCGACGACGTGAAACTTTGGAGAGAGATACGCAACCAAGACGATATACAGGCACTTCAAGAGGATCTGACTCGACTTCAAAGTTGGGCAGACGATAACGGACTTACCTTTAACACTTCAAAGTGTAAAGTAGTCCATCTGCGACATGTCGCAAACTACAGTTACAACTTAGGAAACTCCTCTCTAGTAGTATCCCAAGTCGAAAAAGATTTAGGAGTCCTGGTGCCCCATGACTTAAAGTCTTACGCTAACTGTGGCAAAAACGCCTTCCGAGCAAACCTTGCACTGGTAACGTTGAGGCGCATTTTTGGCCAGTTTGACGGAAGAACTTTCCACACAATCTTCAATAGTTTCATCCGTCCCCATTTAGAGTACGGAAACATAGTACTCCCCCCCTCACTCCAAAAGGACAAGGTCACTTTGGAGCGTATCCAACGGCGAGCTACGAAATCAGTTCGAGGACTCAAATCTAAGCCTTACGAAGAACGCCTCCGTTCACTAGACCTTTACTCACTAGAGTATAGGCGTCTTAGAGGTGATTTATTAATGGCTTATAGTATTCTTAACACTTCTGGACATCCTCTTAAACACCTACTTAAGCTTAGTTCGAATAATAACCTAAGGGGTAACACCCAGAAACTGGAAACACAACATAGCAAGACGGAATGTAGACACAACTTCTACTCCTTAAGAGTTGTCAAAAGCTGGAACTCGCTGCCGGCCGAGCTAGTCCAAGCGACTTCTCAGGAGTCCTTCAAGAGGCAACTTGACCTATTCTTAAGGACCAAGGACAGCATCACACTATGATTTACCAATTTCTTTTCCTCTTTATTGTTAACATACCTAGGTTCCTGCCTGGAGGATTTGGTGATCCCCTGCTACTAGACACGGAAGCCTGTTAAGCGAAAGCTTCTTCTATTCCGTCCACAACCATTTGAACCATTTGAACCATTTGGACCTTTAGAATGCATCGTTGTAGAAACTCAAGCAAAACAAACGTATAATAATTAATTATCATAATAGTTTTAATACCGCGCGTATAATTCTGTCATTTACTGATTGATTCAGGCTATGGCTAAACTAAGCATATTTGACTGAAGATTGCCTACCTTGAAAGATAATTAGT